ACTATGTTCCAAAAATTGTAATTGGATTTCGACTTGAAGTTCTAACAAATCCAGGCAAAATTGTGGAAGACCCATGGATAGAATAGCTTCTCCATGATGAGAAGGTGCTGAATGGAGTGGTCCACGACCATGGGTCAAAGGGACGACGCCGAAATCGGCCAAGTTTAGTGCGCAGCGCTATAGTCGCGACTGCGTTATTTTCAGTTTCAAATTGAACCGATTGGATAAGTGTTTTGGATGAATTGCTCACATGGTTGATGTCGTTTGGGGGTGGGCACTCGGATCGTGGTGGTTTGCGATTCTGTTGCCGGCCGGAGGTGCGACTTCCAGCAATTTGTCCATTTTTCGAGTAGCTGATGTTGCTTGCTGATTTCTGCAGGATTATTGGATGATATGGGAAATTCTTGGGATGGAATTGTAGATGGTGTTGAGGAGATTATGTTGGTACCAATGTCCGAAGGTTATGGCGGTGGAGAAGAGTAGATGTGGTCATCAGAAGGTGGAGGTGGTGGAGGGAGGTGGAGGAGAAGAGAGTGTGTGTTTTTTGTTATTTTTAATATTCTCATAAGTTTCGGACTGATTTGCATTTTTAAAAAAGTTTAGGAGTAGATTGCAATTTATTCTTTATTTTTCTTTTCTTTTTTTTATTTATAAAGGAGGGTATATTGGTTATTTTATTTTAAAAATTGGTGAAAATGACGTTCAACGCAAAGAATGTGAAAGGTAGGGACATTCTGCGCCAAAAAACGAAAGATAAGGACGTTTTCCACAAAAACCTTCAAAGGTATGGACGTTTTGCGCCAATTACCCTTATTGGAATATAGAATAATTGTGTAAACACAGTTATTGTATTTATTTTCTTCATATTAGTCAATTGAATAAAATATCATTTGCCAAATAATTCTTTACTTTTTATCTTGTTATTTGTTTGTGATCATATACTTCATATCGTGTCATATAAATTACCTCGATTCGTTTTATTTTCTAATAAGTGGTATCAGAGCTATTAGTTGTGATTTGTTCGAGGTTTTTATTATTAATAGCAGTCATGAAGTATGAAATTCCGCTTTTGGATTGTAATACAAGATTCTTGTTGTGGAAAATAAATATGCGAGTTGTAGTTGAGCAGATGGATTTGGATGATGCGTTGTTGGGATCTGACAAAATGCCCACAATTTGGACGAGGGAGGAGAAATAACGGAAGAATCGAAAGGCACTTTCACATATCTATCTTCATTTCTCTGACAATATTCTTTGTGATGTTTTGAAGGAGAAAACAGTATACGTGTTGTAGTTGAACTTAGAGTAATTGTGCATAACTAAAAATCTAATAAAAATTGCATCTGAAGTAGATGTTGTGTTCTCATTGTATGATAGAAGGCGGATCTTTGAAAAATCATCTGGTTGTGTTCAAGGAGATCGTCGCTAATTTGGAGACTTTAGAGGTAAAGTATGACAAATAAAATTTGGCCTTAATTATTTTGTAGTTGCCCGCTTCGTTTAGAAACATGATCCTGTATAGTCATGATACTCTCACCATTAAAGATGTGTATGATGCATTACTTTATAAAGAGAAGATGAAGCATATGTTTGGATCTGAGGTCAAAGATGGAGAATACCTTATTGTTTATAGTGATCAAAGAAGGGGTAAGTTGTGGTTAAATTTTAGTAATCAGATTTCTTATTATTTCAAGAAAAAATGACACATTAAGATGGATTATACGATTTGTAGAACAAATGTAATTTGACTGCAAATCATTGGAAGTAATCAAATACTTCAAAAGAGACCAACATATCGAGAACTATTTGAGTGATGGTGATGTTTTGATGATTTCTGACATGGAATCCAAACTTGGCGATGAGTGAATTTTGGATACAGCTTGTGTGTTCCATATGTGTTCCAACAGAATTTGTTTAAAACATATGAAACGGTGATGGTGTTGTTGTCATTGGTAACAACGAACCTTGTGGGGTAACTGGTATTGGTAGAGTCAAATTGAAGCTGGTGGATGGAACATGTAGAACACTTGATCACGTTCGATATATTTCAGACTTGAAAAAGAAGAATCTCATTTCGTTGAGTACTTTTGATTCAAAATAGTACACATTTTCTAGAAGAGGTAGAGTTTTGAGGGTCCGAAAGGGTATTCACATTGTATTGGAAGGGCGAAAAATTTCACAATTATACATCGTGGGAGGTTGGGCAGAATTTGTAAAGAAAAGTGACACCATTACTTGCAGTTCCATCGTATTCAACTACTATGGATAGAACTATTGAAGATAGGTACGTGGATGTTGATTCGGTTGCACATGCTTTTTAGCATTTTTTAAGATGTTGAAAGACTAGCCATGGGCCTTCTATGAAAACATTGGGAGTTGATTTCACTACAGGATGTGCTTCGACACTGTTATGTAATTTCTAATTCTTTGTGTATTTTGGAGAACTCGATGTTTGAGTTCATGTATTCGTGTTGGATACCGTGGAAAATGAATATTTTTTTGTTGGAGAAAGTTTGGTTCATGCTGAAAAATTCATATTTTTAGTTGCATTCGGATTTATTTTTCCAAGTAGAGAAATTTTGGAGTTTCGTTCGTTGCATCAGAATTTGTGTTAAGGTGGAGATTGTTGGATTTTTTTAGAAAATATTTTTCATTCTTTTTACGCTTTTTTTTTTTTTTT